AAGTTAATACCTGAGTACCTTCTTGTGGTATTTCTTGATTCTCCCATTGCTGAGAGGAATAAATGAATCTGACTCCTTGTCTTTAGAAGGCTAATTTATTATTTCATTATCTATATTATATAAAAGAATTCTACACTAAACTATGCTAAAGAATAGAGAAAGGATACAGACAGAAGGCTAAAAGATACCAATGAAAAACTCATGACTCTCTCCTCAGAGTCTGACACAGCTGAGTGTGATTGGCCATAAAGTCAAAACAATTCTCATGTTGGATAAACAATCTCCAAACCACATTCCAAAGCAGCAAAACACAGGAGAAGCAAATGAGATAATGTTGTTCTCATTCTTCTCAGAGGCCTCTCAGCTTCCCAGGAGAGAAATCCTGGGCAAAGGGACTTTTCCAGAAAATATGACAGTGACACCTTCTAAGCATCCATACAGCCTTTAAAGTAGCAGAAATGACTATGCAAACCAGCGACTGGGGTTATCAGACAGCTTTTTTAGTAAAGCTAAACCCAGCCACACAAGGATGCAACCTCTGTTAGCTCACTGGTCTGACTGTCAGAGTATCCACCTAACTTATATGGAATTTGTCTTGCTTACCCACTCCTCTGTGAAGGTATCTTTAACACACAGTCCACTTCTAAATTCTTCAGAGGAGCTAAATATTTCTTTAGAGACAGGACTGGGACACAGGCAAGTGTCCCTGTCTGCTGTCCCTGGTAGCAATACAAATATCCTATAGGTGTTGGTCAGATCCCACCGTGCCACTGCACTCCTTACAAGAGTCAGTTTCCACCAAAACATTTTGGTGGCCAAAAAAACAACCAAACTCCTTAATTCTGACCTGATTAACTCCCTGAAGGATTCATGGTTGGGTTTTTTTGTTCCTGTGACTTCCCTATTCAGCACAAAAGCAACGGACAGGCTGCCAAGCAGCCTTCATCATCCTGAGTCCCATCCCTCAGCCCCTGGGTACCAGCCCGCCTGGGATTAACGATTACCCAACAACAAAGCAGCTGAACTTTAATTCTCCTGCTCATGGAATAAAGCCCCAGAGTCCATGATTAAATCAACCTGGTTTTCAGACACTCTGGAGCTCTGAAGCACATTTTATAACCAGCTAAGCAAACTACACAAAGCTTTAATTTTCAGTTAAAGCCTCTGCAATGTGGTGTTCCTTTTCCATGGGGGAGACTGAATTGCTTGCTATCCTGTCTTTACTTGCCAGTGTCAATATTTCCTTCAGTTAAGAAACAACTGCTGCTCTAACAAATTGCACAAATCTGCTGAACATCCCATGTGTGACTCCAAGGCTAGGCATAGGTAAACATTCCCTTTTTCTATAATAAAAAACATTTATTTAAAAAATAATTCTGATGTTTTAAACACACAGAGAGATTTTTCTGTATTTTGGATAGATGCATGCTCAGGCACATTCTTGCAAAATATTACATCACCAGATGTGCCTTTGTACTTTATAGGGGTCTGTACAAACTGATAAACCATAAAGACAAAGCTAAAACTTGAAATACATGGAGTTATTTGTCTGTGCTTTAAACATCTTCCACAGTGAATATTTTCCTGCTTAAGATGATCCAAAAGTTCACTAACCATGAAAACCACACCTGTACTTCTTTAAATGCTATTCTTTTAACTAGAGAATTTGACAACAACACCAACACCTGCTCTTAGGTAGACTGGAAAAATGAAGCAGGCAGAAATGGCTACATTCACTATAAAAAGAGGATTTTTCCAGATGTTAAACTGTATCCTTGGTTCCTGTTCTTTACATTATCTGTTTTTCCTTACTGCTACATTTAACTGTAAATTATTATTCTATACTGTACATTTCTACTATAAAAAAATCTTTCCAGGAGATGAATAAATGCAACAAGAGAGTTCAAACAATTAATTGCCTTTATTAGCCCGTACATAATTCAGCCCTTTGTAGTTTAGGACAGGGAACACAGAAAGTATCTTTTTGTGTACCTGCTTCTGCATGGTCCTGAACTCTCAAATTGCATAATTGGCTGAACATTCCTAGCCTTCTGATTTTAATCAGGAACACATGGTGCATATCAATAGTCTACTTCATTACGCCTCAAGAAGATCCAGGCTACTGTCCATTTTCAATTAAATTGTATTTTAAAAGAACAGCAACTTGACCTTTTGGAATACCACATAATAGGTTTAAAAACTTAAGCAGCTTTAGGTTTTTTTCCCCTGGAATAGCTAACTAACAAATAGAAATAAGCACCCCTTATTGCAGTATGCCACCAAGGATCAGCCTTTGGATCCATTGGCTCTGTCTTGTGATGGTAATAACACCTGAAAAAAAAATCAATTGCAAAAGAGTACAGACTTGTGTCTCTACAGCCTTGGAGCTTCCTGTTAGCATTGTTTACTAGAAGCCACGAAAGAAAAAGAGTGGGTGTGATCAAACAGCAGAACATGGAGAGGGCTCCAATCCCAAAAGGCTCACCCTTTTAACTGACAGCAGCATGCAAGAGAAAAATAATGAAAAAGCCTTTCTAAAGATAATGAGCAGATCTCTGCCAGAGCTCAGAACAGAACATGCATCTTTGAAGTGGTCAATTCTATTTATTTTTCCTTAATTACAACTCTGAAATATCTATTATTTTAAGATTCTCATTAGATCCCTGAAAATCCGTAAAACAGCCAAGAAGATTTTACCATCAGCATAATTTTCCTCTAATTCGGATTACAGGGATTCTTTTTGTTTACCTGTGGTGACAGCAGTTGTCAGCCAGTATTGCTTTGTGCATATTCCAAAGAACTGAATCAGTAGCAAGCCATTAGATAACCAAAACAGCACTGCTCAGGAACTTTTAGCTACATGAGATTTCACAAAACTGAATAGAATCCATGAGAGGCTTTTACTGGAATATATCAGCAGCTCTGGGAGATCTCACAGAAAAAAAATCATGCCCCTCCAGGATGTGCTGGCCATGCTGCTGAAGGCTCTGCAGGTGATGGGTTTTGGTTGAACAGCTGGCTCACAAAAGTTGTCTATATCTGTGATTCATATGTCCCAATGTTTAGGAATAATACTTCTCTCCAGCTTGAATCCATTGTGGCCTTGTGTAAGCGAAAAGTGACAAAGCCCAGCCACATTTCTAGAGCTCAGAAACAATCCCACACAGTGTGCTTGTTCATCACCAAATGAGAGGAAAGCACAAAACAAAATAAAAATAACAACAACACTCTGAAAAAAACTATAAAAGTATTCACTAAGCACAATAGCCTAAACAAATGGTACAGAGTATCTCTGCAGCTGAGGTCAGAGGTGTTTTAAGTTTATGTAACTGATTATTAGAAACTTTAAATGTCCTTGACCTATTTCAATAGAACTATTCCCTCATCTAAAAGCATAAAGAGGCACCTACCACTCTCCAGCTAGGAATTCATTTGGCAGAGGTAAGAAAACTACCCTTATTTCAGCTATAAGTATTTTTTCTTTATTGACAGGTTCTTCAGTGAAAGTCAATCCACTCTTTTGGAAGTACACTTCATTCAAAATGTCCCCCACATGTAGCCAAAAGATTTCTAAAAAAAAAGGAACAAAATTAAACCTCTTAGAGGAGTATATTGTGGACACTATGGAATATTTATAGAGCATCCTTCTGGGCCATGGACAATCAGAAGCCTAACTTCAAATATTCTAACATTCTATTTTGTTGCTGACAGAGGAACATTTGGACTTTACGGTAAAGTTAGCATTTGTGAATGCTAAATCTCCTGTCCCACCTGCCTTCAAAAGAAACACCTTTAAAACCCTGGTGTGGATAGTTTTCCAAGTTTAAACCAAAACTATTTGTGGATAGCTCAGCTGGACTGCCAAAGGCATAAGGGTCCAGGATGAACAAGACAAGTTATTCTTTGTCATTCTTCTCAAGTATTCTCTCATGAGAAAAAAAACAGATGTATGCAGATGCCATAGCAGCCAACTGACACTAATTACATCCAGGATAGACCAAAGATGCAATTCATCAATGAAGGTAATTAGGGATTTCAAAGACTTACTAGTTAATATAGTGAGTTTTTGTCACTGGAAGTCTTGAAACAAAATGTAATGCCATTTTAAAAGCTGTGTTTCTTATCTCAATAAGAACCTATGCTGTAATTATGGAGTTCAGTACCCTGGTCTGGCTTGTACAGGAGGTCAGATGAGACAATCCTAATGGTTTATTCTAAACTCTAAATCAGTGAATGAAGAAACAGCAAATATCTCCACAACTAGACATAAAAATAGGTTGATCATAATAAAAACAAAGGATCAAAAGAATGAAAATGTTGGGTTTGCCTACTAACATTCAGAAGCATGACCAAAAAAAGCACTTGGAGTACTAATCTCTGTAAATTATTTAAAAAGCAAAAGAAAAATATAAACAACAATAAAACCAAAATCTTCTACCAACACTTGGCCATCTACTTCAACTCCAGGAAGGGCATTGCTTTCTGTGTGTTTTATTGTTTTGTTTGATTTGTCCTAAAGGTCACAAAGCAAGATTATCTTCTCTTCTGCGCAGGGCTATTGGACACCTTAATAGACTTCATTATATGAGCCATTTCTCTGACATTCAGCTAACATTTGACTGTTAGTGACCTCTCCTGAAGTGACAGAAAATATGTGCAAATCTGCCTAGGAATACAATACATGTGTGGTAGAGAGCAGAAAAGAAATTTCAGGTGGAAGCAACATCAGAATTATCCTTGACACGACCATTTTCACATGTTTCAAGTGTTCAAAAACACAAAGACTGAAAAAAGCACTACTCCAACTCTTCTTCAATACTTAAGACAGGAAAGTCAATAATGGGATTTTTAATGTAGTGGTTTGAGCAGAAAAAGTGACTATGAAGTGAGAAAGGGATTACATTCAAAAGTGCACTTTCTTGGGTGACTGGCACCATTGTTTTATCTTCATTGTACTTACAAATTGATTGATAAGTAAAATGAAATAAAAGGAGTCTTACCTCAGTGTCTAATTGCAAAATGCACATTCCCCTAAAAAAAAAAAAAAAAACTTAGCTGGAAAAACTTCATCCCATTGCGATTTGTACCATCATTGCCCATTCTTTACCAAAGACATTGGCTGTCACTCACCTGAAGGAATTCTTCTTTTTCAGAGCACTTGAGGACTCCAGCTCCCAGTATTACTCAGTAGCTTGGAAAATGCTAAGTGCCAGTTTGGGCCACAAGCCCTGCAAAGCACTTGCCATTTTCCTGGTGTTCCTGGCCTCCTTGCCAGGTCAATCCCCTTGAAAGTGTCAGATTTGCTTCAGTTCACCTCAGACAAATTTAAAAACAAAAGCCTTAAAAATTATTCCTGCAAAACAAAACATTTTGTTCTTGATTATGATGTTTAAACCACACTTTAAAATGTAAAGCATAAAATAAATAAATTGACATTTAACATAAACCTGACATAAAACATAAATGTCTTTCTCCCCTTAGACACATTCAGTTGAAGTTCAGCACTTTGTAGAGAAAGGTGACAGTTGAGTTTCAGCATTCACAGATCCATCAGAAGCAATGTGCAAACTACAAACTGAAAAACATCACTTGGAAGAATTGTCTTTCAGAAGGGGACCTCTTTGAGACTTTATTCAGCATCAGAAGCTTAAAGGGCAGCAGCTCAGTAGCACTCCTTCTCTGAAACATTTTCATTTCCAGATGACCTAAAAGGTTAGCTGAGAAGCTAGCAATCTATCCTTCATAAATATGCCTTTTTAACTTTTAATATTACTTTAATTTTTCTTGAAGACTATTCCTCTCATACCAGTAACACTGATGACAGAGCTGGCCCTTAGGAAGCTCCCTGTTCTTCTCTATTAGTCTGGGGAGTACAGCTGTCTCCAAAATAAAGAGATACCCAGACTGCATAAATTACTTTGATATTCATGTTTCAGTACTTGAAGTATGTTAGGTGATGTATTAAGTACTCAAATGTACTCACGTCTGACTTTGCCAAACCCCATTCTCAAACTAAACTCATTCTTTGCAAACCAAGTATTCCCCTCCCTTTAAAACTTAAATCCACTGGTCTCAAAACACTCCTGGCAGATTAATCTTCATGAAGAACACAGTGGAGCTTTCATTTTCTCTTATAAGACCAAACAGCGGTACCTCCTATTCTTCTAAGAGCCACAAAATGCACACTCAATCATCTCCTTTGGGGAATTAAAACCCACAACACTTGCTTCTCTGGAGAATCTTCTAACTAATGAGATTTATCTGACCAGCTAAGAGCAAGGGCATGAATCAACAAAGAGCAAGGGCATAAATCAATAGCCTAATAAGTTAGGACTCCTGCTCCTGTGCCTGGATTCTAGTAAAGAAGAACATGGCCTCAGCCTCTGGGGAAAACATAAAAAGTTTCTTAAGGAAAAAATAAAAATTAAATCCTCCTTTCCCAGATGAATACTCCTGTCAGTATTAGTGAGAGTCACACACCCTGAGATTCTCACCATTATCAGTTGAAATTCTCCTTACTTCAGTTTGAAACAGGGGACAAAGAGCCCTCCACCAGCCCTGGGGGCTGCCACAGTCACTGCTGATTGCTTGTGCCACCTCCTGGCTCTGGCCTCCAGCTCAGGTGGTGGAAGGGGGGACAGCACAAAGCAGTACCAATCTGAACCAGGGATGCAGAAGCAGTAGTTCATTAGATTTCATCACAGCTCTCAGATTCTGTGCTGCAATTTGCTCTTCTGGAAAGGAGGATTGGGAGAACCAACTGCTCAAGCCCTGCAAACATAGCTAATGGCATAAATCCACTTCCTGATCAACACAACTTTGATGATTGGTAACTATGATCAATCCCATTCCCCCTCAGGTACCTGCTGACAAACCAGACTTTCAGGGAATAAAGCTTGCCAAATTTATTATAGAACAGTATTGCCCTCCTGTGGCCAAAGACTATGCCAAAGAACCGAATCTTATGAGGATTTCTCTGTACTTTTTTATTTATTTGTTTCTTTCTTTCTCATGCACAGTCTGCTACCCCCCTTTCTGAAAGGAGCTGACAGCTGGGAGACTCCCCTGCAAGCCTCTCCAAACCTAGATCCAAAGCTGGTTTGGGCATTTCAAGGCATAGAAGCTGAACAGAAAAATAAGCAATAGCCATCATCGCAGTCCCTCTGGCTCCTTACATTTCTCCTGATGATGCTCTTCACATCTGAAATTATTATCTGCCTCATCTTCAGTGGTGACGTTTGATAGTGACAGCATTTCTTTCTGTGCACTGCCATTAATCATTCCTCTTTGCCTTAGATTTACTGCCTGTTTAATAATCCAAAAGTAGGATCTGCCCATTTTCAGACTAAGAGACAATCTATCCACTGGGAGCAAGTATGGACCTTCCAGACCTCCCCCAGACCCATGTAAGAAAACTGATTTTCTCTGATTTAAATCTTTTGGTCCTGAGTGACTTAGCAAGCACAGTGTGAGAGTTTGCAGACACACAGAGCAACAACAGAGACTACAAAGGGGCTGACACACAGCTCCCCATGGCAACACCCCAGCTCACAGGCTACACAATTAGTGCACAAAGCAGATGACATCGTCCCACCCTTGAATACATAAAGTCCTCTCTGAAATCCCCATAACTTTGCCAACAGAAATATCACTTCACCAAGAAAATTACAACTTTTTTCTTGGATTAAATACTTGGAGATAATAAAAATCTCTTAAATATTGATCAGCCACACACCTGAGAAAACACTGTTGCAATAAAGGATTTACATAAACAGTAGGACAAATGTAGCTTAAAGCAGTCTAAATTCTTCACCATTATGTCAAAGTGTTGTCGAAAACCAAAATACAGTTTCTGTGAAGATTAATTTCACTTTACATATATCATGGAACTGGCTTCCAATCTATTTTACCTGCCAACAGTCAGTTAATATGACTCAGCTTTTCTGCCCAGCAGTCAAAGACTGAAGAAAAAAGGATAAGCAGCTCCATCTTCCTTTTCTGATTGCCAGCTATGCAGTATAAGAATGATCTACCTTTTATTTCACAATATGTGTGTCTTTAATCAAGTCTGATTTCAATTTATACATATGTTCCAGTATTTTCTACACTGGATTTTTGTGTTGCTCCATTCAAGTTAAAGAAACCAGTCACAAATAATCCATATAGCCAGAGAAAGTTTGGGAATAGATCTGTGTTCAAAATATGCAAAAATATTTTCAGTCATTTCTGGAAAACAAACAACCCAAAACATGGGACAAATCCTGGGCCACAACAGACTTGCTTGGACACAGCCATAGTTTTTCAATGCACTGAATGCAGCTAACAATGACCACTGCAAAACACAATTCTTTTCTGGTTAAAATAAAAAAAGCCTTTGTGTTTCAGGTAAGTACTGACAGCAAATTTTACTTGCTGTCTAATTTATGAAAAATTAATTTTAATTATCATCTAGGAGAAACAGCATCTGCTTAGTATTAGAAGAGTCCGTAGAATGTGATGAAAAATGAGGACTTCATACCCAGCTGAGTACACAGAGACAGGGAGAACAGGATAAGGAATAATTCTCAATCTCTTGGAAGTATCTGAAAAGGTTTTTTACCTGTGCTTCCTTTCCAAGAACAGTTTGTACAGACCAAGCATACAGAACTGAAGTCTGGAAGGAAGGAGAGTATTTGAAAAGGTTTTATCCACAAGATGACAAGATGAACACAGCTCACTTGCTGATGAATTCTGTGTAATCAGTGTTAAGTCACAGGCTTGCTGGCATTTTGGTTTAATTGGGCAGAGCAACTGTGTCTTCTGGATGGAGGTACAGAAAACAGCATTTTTCCAGCTCAAGCTCCATGGCAGTCTTGCAGCAAGGACATGCACAGGCCACACCTTTCAGCAATGTGTCCTGTAGGACAGGGGAAGGAGGACATTAGATATCTTCTGGGAACCCTGGAGACATCATCCATTTCCTTCTGTGTATCTTCTTCCTAACCTCATGGGAATGGACAGTCACATTTGGATGTTGCTGCTCACTCCCAAGTGCAGTAAATTTTTGATCATTTTAATTTTCCATCTTTTCTGATCAGTTTTTATTTTGAATGCTATCTAGGAAAGACAAATAAAAATTAGTAAGATATTTAGATTCCCATTTATTTTTATTTTGGGCTGCTGAATTGATCATCTGTAGTGCTCAGTACTAGTTATGCCACACGCAACACTCTCCAGAATCATTCTTTTCATTTAACCACTTTTCCCTAGAAAACAATTTTCTTGACAATTACTCTGATTTCTTTTCTTCTTCTTTTCAGAAGCAACAGAATGCAACTGAAAAAGTGAGGATAAGAGGATGCCACCAGCTAGTACAGGCTTTTCTGCCTCTCCTCTTGCTTTTTGACCCAAGCTATGGCAAAGAAAGTCAGTTCATCATCCCTCCCACAGCACACACTCACATTTCTCTTCTATTTGCAAGCTCAGTACTCCTTGCTGTGCTGTGAAACCCTACCTGCTCTCCTTCGAAGCACACCTCTGCCTGGATACTGTGTACTTCAGGCAAAGAAAAAAAGTCTCTTGTTTTGGCTCCTAAGTCCTTTTTCCAGGCTGTTGTACACAGGAACTTAGAAATCTGTGAGAATTGCTCCCATTCCTGAAAATGGCATGACCTCATCTCCCTCTACAATTATTGTCCTTTTGGGTTCATTCCTCTAGACCAGATGTTCAGTCACTGCTACTCAGGCTTTGTACATCTGAATGCCTCCTGGCCAATAAGGTTAACAAAACACCCTGAAATCAGTGTTTGGCTGCTGAAGTTCTTCTAACTCAACTGCAGTCTCTCCCTCCTTGAGGAATTCTCTGTGATGCCCACTAGGAAGCACTAAGATCTCAAACATAGCAAGGGATGCATATTTTTTTCTTCTAGCTCTGAAATCCTCCCTTTGAAACTTCTATAGGAAGAGTAATTATTTCAGCTGGACTGGAAGAATCCATCTGCTTATTTGCTTCATTTTCTACAGCTCCCATGACCCTTCTTCTGCCTATTTAGCTGAAAATTCAGGAACAGTAATGAGAATGAAAACTCCTCCTTTTAACATTCTCAGGTGCTTATGCCAGAGCTTGTAATACTCTAAAATGCCAAGCCACTGCTGAAGGCTTCTCACCAAACATTAAATTCCCCATATAACAGTAACTTGAAAAAAATTGCTGCTTCTCTTCACAAGTTCTGATAACAAACATGCCAGAAAATAGAGATGCTTCTGTATGTCTCAACAGATATTAAAAAAAAAGATACTGAGCTACATCTGAACAATGCAAACTGCAACATTCAACTCTTCGTTGCACATCTAGGAAAAGAGAGCCAGGAGTTTTGAAAGGTACAGGTGTTTGGTAAAATTTGAAAGCTATATATGCAATGGAAAAAGAACTGGAGAAAAATAATGTACCTATTATGAATATAAACTTAGAAAGCTGTGATGTCAATGCTAAAGCTCATGAAGGTAAGTAAACAAGGAACAGCATGACCTAAAGGAGATGGAAAGAAGAAGAAGAAGAAAGTAAGCAAGGCAGAGAAGCAGGAGGCAGAAATTATTCAAGGTAGCAAGACACAGAGGTCCTTGCTGAAGATCTCCTGCTGTCACAGCTCATGGTGAAAATCAGCACTGCAGAAGCCATTGGCATTGCTGTCCTGCATTTCTGAGGAGAAATGGGGATCAAGTGAAACTGCAGCCATACTTGGAAGGAGCCATTAACTAAATTCCAGACAAAAAGGACACAGTTGCTCTGGCAGAAAACTGGTGTAAAGGAGCACATCTGCCAGGTGTGTTTCTACACTGCGCTGTCGAATCCCAGAAAGGATGATTCAGGAGGAATGGAATCACGATCAATTATCTATAATAGGATGATGAGAAAAAAGCACAGCACTTCAGTATATGGTTTTCAAGGAGATGGCGCTTGGCATTCTTCAGAATAGTTTTTGATACTTCATGTTCTGTTCCACCGAACAGCTCTTGCTTTTTTTGTTTTTTATTGAATTAGATGCCACCATGAGTTCCAATGATGGGCTTCATCTCACAGAGGAGCAGCATTACTCAAGCACATGAGATACCTGTTAGCAATTCATTTTTTCATTTTACATCCATTGTTTATTTCATAGTAATAAGCTACAGCCCAAATTCCAATTAAAAGTTACCTATACATACTATTAAAAATGCAAGTAGTCTCACAGTAGTATAGTTCATGTATTAGAAAACATGAGTACCAGAATTATAAACCAAGATGGTTTCTGGGATTCTCAGTTCTTGAGAGACCACCTCTCATCTCAAATCCTGAAGTGTTCAGAACCTAAACTCCATCTCATTGAAATAAAATTTCATTTCAGGAAGGGAAACGAAATCTTGTAATTTCAATGGAGATCAATTGGGCAAGCTTTGGCCCATGTCCCTGCACTTCATGGCATCCCATGCCTTTTGATGGCTTTCACTTTGGCAAAGATTGTTTTGGGGTTTTTTTCAGTATCCATGACATGTCACTCATATCTTCCCCTCAAAGTTCTGTCTTCCTCCTTGATTTTTTCCCCTGATTTTGCAGCATCTCTGAGGTTAGTTTTGGCATGTTTTGCTCCTTTGCACTGCACCTCATGTAATCCTGGTCCATTTTCCTGTAGTCACTAAATTTCCCAATTTTCTGTTTTTTTCTTCAATTGCATTTATTTCCTTTCATAGTATCTCTATTCCAGAGTGTTTCTAAGTCCTTCTACTTTGGCAAAGACTTTTTTTTTTTCAGTATCCATGCCATGTCTCTCATCTCTGCCCCTCAAAGATGTGTCTTCCTCCTTGATTTTTTTCCCCTGATTTTGCAGCATCTGTGAGCTCAGTTTTGGCATCTTTTGGTCCTTTGCAATATAGCTCATTTCCTCCCAAACCATTTTCGTGTAGTCACTAAATCTCCCCATTTCCTGGTTATTTTGGTTTTTTTCCAGGTGCATTTCATTTGATCATATCTCCTTTCCAGAGTGTTTGTGAGCCTTTCTTTTCTGTTTTACAAGATTTCGTTTCCCTTCCTGAAATTTGAAACAAGTCAAAAAATCCTTATTCCCTTCACACTTATGAAAAAAAAGAAAATAAAAAGAGCCTTTACAAGTATGTGCTGAGAATTGGATAGAAAGGAAAGTTGGATTCACGCATTCTGCCAAAAGCCATGTAGAGTTGCAGTCAGGAGGACTAAATCAAAGAGACGAGAATACCAGTGAGTTCTTCATTTCCTCTCAAAACAAGTCATGGTTCACTTTAATCAGCTGCAAAGATCATTTCAGAAAGGGCAGAATTGATAAGCTGGTTTTGATATGCTTATCTTCAGCATCAGCCCTAAACGATTTAGCTGAGGAAGTAATTTCAGGAGGAAAACAGCAATAGTAAGCTGTTTTAACTTCTGAAAATTAACTGCTACAGAGAGATGTTTTGTAATATTATACCAATACTTGCTTTTTTCTTCTACTAAAATTAGGTGTATAGAGGAAATGATCCACTTTATGAGAATACATGTTTTAAAATAAATTCCAAACTGGTTAGTTCTCCTTGATGTTCCAGTAATTCACATTAAATACACAGGTAAGAAGGGAATGTAAAAACAAGCACTTCCCCAGTTCATCTCTTCAGCATGTTATGCAATTCATTTTCTTCAGTCTGACACTATTTAACTTCCTGCTTGAATGCACAGAATTAAATCCAAGGAAAATAAATAAGCTATTTCAGAAAAAGAAAACAGTTACATAGATTAACCTAATTTAAATGCACAGGGGGAAAAAAAAGTCTCATTCACACTACAACAGAGTAGTTTTCCTAAATTCAGACTTGGAACAAAGCAGACATAAAATGTCTGATGCTGGATTCTCTGGGTTTGCTTGGATAGGAGAGTGGCCCATACAGAGAATCCTGGAGACAGGAGCTGTGATGCAGCCTGCTCTTCTTTGAGCTGAACATGGAGTTTTCCCAGAGAAGGCAGGGTTACTGCCATGTCCCAGGTACAGCTCTCAGCCTCTGGGCCACTGAGGGATGAGTGTGTAAAGTGCTTTTAAACCAACTGTGACTTTCCATCCCAGTGAGCTATTGCAGCTGCCTTAAGGGAATATCAGAGGAATCCAGGTCCTTTTAGCCCTGCTGAAGTAGTCAAAATTGATGTCTTAAAGCTGATTCTGACCTTGGTCTGAGATTTACAGAACAGCACACAGTGAAAGAACAGACTTAATCCCTTGACAAACAGGACTGTGTCTTCAGTGAGAGAGCTCAGCTCAATTAGTCCAGATACATATCTCCAACTGTCTTGTCCTGGAAAACTCAAAGCACAGCTGAATAAATTCTCCTTAATTTAATTCTCTTTCATTTAAGTTGAATTACATATATCTCTAAAAAAATCAATATATAAGGTCCACAAAGATGCTTTCTCTCTTATTACTAAGAGAAATTAAAAGAAGAAATAGGTTCCCTCCCTGTTTAAAAAACCATACTGAGAGATGGATGCCAGGCACAGAGAATCTTTTGTGTCACCAAATAAAGACAACCAGGCATCTTCAAAGCCATCTTGATTTGTACAGCTCCTGTGCTATCAATTCCCAACATTAACCCAGGAGAGTTTGTCAAGAATGAACCTGCATCTGTATAGGGCCAAAAAGCCTTCAAACTATTAATTCTAATCCAAAATATTAAAAAACCCTGCCAGTGCAAGTAGAGCCAGTAGGATTACACACAAGGTTAAGGTACCTTTGTGGCTCTTCATGAGACCAGGCTGTAACTCACTGCTGAGTGAGTTCAGTTTGTTCAGCCTGGAGAAGAAAAGGCTTTTGGGGGACCTTAGAGCAGCTTTCAGTGCCTAGAGAGGCCCTGAAAGAGAGCTGGAGGAGCTGGAGAGGGACTCTTAAGCAGGGAGTAGTGATAGATAAAATTGCTACTTCCTCTTTTTTTTCCCTTTTGCCAGTCTTGCCCTGATTTTCTTTGGGCTCTTGTTGTGGAGCTGCATGTACCAGCCTGGCTCTTGGCAGGTTTAGGTTCTGGCCAGTCCATGCTAAGAACCAAATGGAATCAGAAAGTCACAACACAGTGGCTGGTGCTTCCCCTTCTGTGGTTTCCTTGCCTTTACCAGCTCAGCAAATCTGGGTACCCCGACAACATCCTGTTATGATGCATTCATATTTCCCCATTATGATTCTCTTATTTTCTTACAATTTCCCCATCTGAGGCCTATCTATGTGAACCTAGCACTGCTGAGTCCTCCCAGAAGCCAGGTATGCTCTCCCTTCCCAGAAGACAGCTCCATCCCCATTGACAAGCCCCCCAAGTCTCCATGTGGAGTCCATGTGGGTGCTGCCAGAGCAGCAGGTGGGATACTCCTGTGTACCCCTGCCCCACAAAAATGAAGTATCAGGTCCCCAAGAAGAAAGGTGAATGCAGAACATCCCCCTGAGCACTGGCCAGAGCAGATTTTAGCTGGTGCCCCAGTGCAAGCAGAGGCCCCTGAACTGCGGAAGATGCACTGGCCTCTCCCTCATGCAGCTCATGGTATTAACCCCACTGGCACCCCAGCATGGTTTTGGAGGTGACACTGGTGCTGTCTCCAGGCACTGCTCAGGCTGTGCCAGTGAGCTGACATTGTGCCAGCAGGCTATTGTGCCAGCAGGACAGGCTCAGTGTCCACAAGAATGGATTGATGAGTCTCCAGAGCTGACACTCCATGGCCCCCAGCCCTCTTTTCCCTTCCTGCAGTGCCAGGCCAGCAAGCTGAGCCAGACAGGGACCAGTGAAGAGGGATTCTACAGCTTTCCCCCGACAGCCAGCAGGAGCTGACACATCTGGCACAGAAGGTGAGGTTAGGAGTCTTCATGCTCCCTATCTGGCAATGTACAGGCCAGGGATGCTCTGGTAGCCAGCTGCAAACCACCCACCGGACCTTCATTTACCCAAAAAGGCTCATTTCTGCAGAAATTAGGTCTTTTGAGAGGGTACATGATGGTATCAGTGGTTCCTGTGGTTCTCACTAGCCAGGCAGCCCACTAGCAGGGGTAAGGGGTAACCAGGCTCCCCGGGGGAGTGTGGCACTGACATCCCCTCAGGGGCTGCACCTGCCAGCTGGGGGCACCTCAAACACCACCGCAGCAAAATTCTTGCTTGACAAAGGTAGGATATAATCAATTCCACAGCAGTGCCCTGTCACCCCATTTCTCTTCATAGAGAAAAGCAAGGCACAATTCTTCCCAAGAATATTTCTGGGTTTCACATTCTCTGAACCTCAGAGAAAGGAAAAACAATTCTTATCATTTGTTGTGCCTGTGTTTGTGCAAAAGTAGAATGCAATCTGGAGATTGTTTACCCAAAGTGATGGTATTTTGTTTCCTGTCAGGGCCAAGTGTGTGTGTCTGTGTCAGGACTGTCGGCTGACAGTCACGAGATTCTGTGCAGTGTGTGCAGAGTTGAGTGCTTGGCAGATTCAGTTTAGATGTAATGTAATATAAAGTAATATAGTATAGAATAATATTGTATAATAAAGTAATTAATTAGCTTCTGATAAGATGGAGTCAGATGCATCTTTCTCTCCCCTCGTCAGGGCAGCCTGCTAATTGGATAGTGCACACTGAGAAAGCAAGCTATGGAACTTGCTACTTCCTTCTTCTTTTCCAGTGTTTATCCTTGTTCTGGTTCTCCTCAGAACCCTGGTCAGCAAAGTTCACATCCCATCCTGGCTCTCAGCTAACAGGTCATTGCAGCAGTAGCAGGGCTTGTGTTTGGGGGTTTGGCTCCAGCCAGTCCCACCAGAGACTCAAATGGAATCTTAAAGTTGCAGATCTGTCACATGCACTTCCCCTTCTGTGGTTTCCTTCTCTGTCATGTTGCACTCATTTTCTCTCCTTTAAACCCTGGATGAATAGGGACTGAGCATTGTGAAGAGGAAAAACCCTGCAGCCACCCCAGCTCCAGCCCAGTTTGTGCTCCCTCAGCCCCTACAGTACCATGAAGTTGACAGAAACAAATTGTAGGATCATTTGTGTTGGAAAAGACCTTTAAGATCATCAAGTCCAACTGTTAATCCAGCATTGCCAAGTTCACCACCAAACTATGTCCCTAAGCACCACATCTACATGTATTTTAAATGTCTTTAGGGATGGTGACCCCACCACTTCCCCAGGCAGCCTACTGCAGTGCTTGACAACCCTTCCAGAAAAGAACATTTTCATAACATGACCTGGATCAATGTGAAGCCATTTTGTCTTGTCCTTGTAACCTGGGAGAAGAGAGCAACCTCCACCTCACTACAGCCCTCCTTTCAAAAACTTGCAGAGAGCAGTAAGGTGCCCCTCAGGGGGGCCTCCTCTTCCACCATCAAAGAAACCTGTGGAAGAGGTTTTACAGCAACTTCTGTGAGCCAGAGAGAAGTTTAATAAGAGGATCCTTGTTTACTCCTGAAAGGATTTTCCAGCAAGGTTGTTGACATAGAAACCAAGAAAGAAAGAAGGATAAATAAGAGAAAACTGCAACTGCAACTATTCCAATAAGCACCTTGTTTGTCTTTTGTGACCAAGGAGTAAAGTGTAAACTTAGGAGTTTTGTAAGAATGTGTAAAAAGCATGCATGCTATAATAAAAACAGGTTTGAAGCCTTCTGAAAATTGAGTGTGTTGCTTTGTATTGTGACCATCTCGACTACAACACAAACCCAGCTCCTTCAGCTGTTCCTCATAAGACTTGTTCTCTCTCGAATCTGAAAATCATAGCCCTGTGGCTGGCACTTCTCTTTCTGCGGCTTATTTAAGTCACACAATTTTGCTGGTATGACAGACTCATTTTCTTCCGTGAAACCCTGTACCCACCCAGTGGTGGGGGATATAAAAGGAGATCAGCAGGAGCAGAGGTTACTGTGCAGAGGACAGCCCTACAGACACCGCAGCTCCAGCGTCACTCGTGGCTCTCTCAGCCTTCCTAGCACCATGAGGGTCCTGTCAGCTGCCCTGGCTGTTCTGCTCCTTGTGGCCATCTGCTCCCTGGCTGAGGCTGATCCCAGCATCCCCAGCAGCGCTGCACTTTACAAGCAGAACGGTAGGTTCTCCTTCCCCAGGAGAGAGCCCCATCCCCACTGATTAGACACTCCTGTCTATGGAGAAGGCTGAGAGCTGATGGGCATCACCAGTGCAGGGACTAAGCCTCAGAGATGGAGGTTTCCAGGAGGTGTTCCCAGAGGACACAGCCTGGGTGATGGCAAATCCCCTGGGAGCCACAGGCAGAGCCTCTGCTGCAGTGTGGGGGTCTCACTGGGCCCATCTCTCTTCCCTGAAGCTGAAGACACCACCTGCTGCTTCTCCTACATTTCCCGCCCCATTCCACGCATGATGATCAGCTCTGCCTACGTGACCAGCAACACCTGCTCAAGGCCAGCTGTGGTGTAAGTACCCAACACTGCTGGGGTCCAGGGTGCAGCAGCCAGGGCAGGGCCTCAAAGGTGTCCAAGGTTGTCCAGGATGGGGAAGGGCATGGACAGGGACAAACAGGGGCTACCAGCAGGACCTAGCAAAAGCACCCTGATGCCCTGGCTGAGTGCCTCAATACCGGTTTTCCCAACAGCCTGGTCACCAGGAGAGGAACAAAGGTGTGTGCAGACCCCAGTGCTCGCTGGGTGCAGGAATACCTGAAGGACATGAGGCTTCAGTAGTCCCTCCTCCCTGCCGCTGCTCCCAGGCAGAGCGCTCAGCCCCCACCATGAGGACTGCAGTAAGAGTGCTTGAGCTGCATCCTTCTTCAAAAGGAAAATTTACTACAATTGGCATACACTGGTTTAACTAAACTTTGCTTTTGCCTAAATGCTTGAATAAAATGTTGGCTTGTCAAATCTTTTGGATGTCTCTGAAGTCTCTGCTGGAACCCCAACATGACAGAAATGACAGACAAGATAGAACCACGTATTCCAAAATGACTCAGGAATACATATATACACTGTAATAATGAGACTAAAAGAAGCTCTAAATCCTAAAAATTATGTGTAGAGCTGCACAAGATTTGGGCAAGGCTGATGGACTTCTTTCTGCATCATCAGTTTGCTGTACTTCAAAGCTCACTTCAACTGCTCTTCAATGCAATGTATAGTGCAATGCTTTTGGCCACTTCTGCAATTCAGTCTCATAGCAACAGCTTCTAGGTAAATAACACTGAAAATCTCTGATTTAGGAAAAATGTGAAAGAGAAAACATAATACTTTTATATAATTTTCAAGGCAAAAATTACAGTCCAGTAAAAATCCACCCTGATGCACTGTTTTCACAAATCTCATGACAGTTTAGGCAATCTATTGGTTCTTATAAATACACCAACCCTGGATTAAATACTGTGCATTTTCACAGCATCATGGAGGTTTTTTCCTTAATACAGCTTGACTTAATCCCCTCCTAAAAATGCCTGTTGACCACTGCACCCTTAGTCTGGCTCCTTGAAGAGGACACACTGAGGTAGAAGGCTGGCACCATCAGGACCAAGAGCTGCCCTCTGAGCACACACCACCAAGCCCAGAGCCATTCCACACTTCACCCCTGGAGAACAACCTGTGAAAAACGCCAATCACTTGTTTTTAAAATTTTAAAAGTTTAATAGTAATAAAATGGTCATAAAAATAGTAATATAATTAGAGTAATAAAAATTTGAACAATTGAGATTAGGACAATATGAGACAATAAGAACAAAGAGTTACGGACAGTCCAGGTATCTTTTCTGGGCAAAATAAGCCTGAAAAAGGACACACATTAACAGAGGATTAACCCTTTAAAACCTGTTGCATATTCATACACCTCATACATGATGAATAAATTCCATTCAGACAAAGAATTCTGTCTGGTCAGGGTCAGCTTCTTCCCTTAATCCTGACGGTGTCTTCATGGCTGAGCGAGGCAGAAAGAAGTTTATTTCTTCTGATAAGAGAGCAATAAATTCTTTTTCTCTGAAAGATTTAGGTGTCCTGTGACTGCTATCTTGTGAGTCCTTTCTTTTGAAAAAGTATCTTATATGGCATAGTTTCTATTTTAACCTTATGTTACAACTTAAAACTATATTTAACACACTATTTAAGAAAATTAATACAGCATAACTTTCTAGCCTAACACATATATTATTAGTTTTAATATTTACAAAAAGCCAATCATAAAATACGTATTTTTCACAAACCCAGACTAGGTGTCCCTGCATTTCACACAGCCCTCCTTCTGCCCACACCACCATCCACCACCACCACCATCCATCCCTCTGTGCTGCCCCAAGTACAGGTGTTCTTCCCTGCCACCACCAAGGGGGAACCCGTTCCCATTCCTGCCTTCCATTCCTTGAGCTGCCTCTTTCTTTTTCTGTTTCTTGGACATTGTATTAGTATCTGAAAATTTTGTTTGATGAAAGTAGCTGTGTTCAAACCCACTGTGTCCCCTTGTTACCGCACAGCTGACATTAACACTGAGTGTTGGAGGGGAGACTAATCATAAAACGTGCCATATTCAGCATATTTTGTGAAGCAAGTGCTGAGGAGAATGAGAACTGAAAAATGTGTATTTTATTATTGGTTTTTTGCAAATATTAAAATGAATATTATATGTGTTATGTTAGAAAGTTATGCTGTATTAATTCTCTTAAGTAGTGTGTTAAATATAGTTTTAGGTTATAGCAAAATGTTAAAATAGAAACTATGCTGTGCAGGCTACTTTTTTTTAACAAAGGACTCGCACTGAGATAGCAGCCACAGGACACCTAAATCTTTCAGAGAAAGAATTTATTGCCCCATTATCAGGAGAAACGAACTTCTTCCCGCCTCGTTCAGCTCTGAAGACGCCGTCAGGATTCAGAAGTAGTTGACACTGACCAGACAGAATGCTGTATTTGAATGGAATTTATATGTCATGCATGAGATGTATGAATATGCAACAGGCTATTGTTTTTAAGGGTTAATCCTCTGTTAACGTGTGTTCTTTTCCGGGCTTATGCTGCCCAGAAAAAGGTACCCGAACGTCCATAACTCCTTGTTTCTATTGTCTCATATTGTCCTAATTCAAATCGTTCAAATTATTATTACTCTCATTATATTACTATTTTTATAACAATTTTATTACTATTAAACTTTAAAAATTTTAAAAACAAGTGACTGGCGTTTCTCACAAAGAGAATAGCACTAAATGCAACAGCCCAAACCTCATTCCCCTCAGGCTCCCGAGACCAAACCCCACTCCCACTCTGAGTTTCCGGATTTCCGGCCTCAACCCCGCTCGTCCAGCAGGGACCTCCCGGCCCCGCAGGGCATCTCGGGAGTTGTAGTTCTCCGCGCGGCGCGACATGGCGGCTGTGCGGGCATTGCCGGCCCTCGCCGCCGCGCTGCTTCTGGCTGCCGCCGGACAGGCCAGCAAGTACTCCCGGGAGGCCAACGAGGGGCTGGCCGCCGCCGACGGCAAGCGACGGGAGGCCGGGGAGTTCCGGGTGGTGAGGCTGAATCAGATCTGGGAGAAGGCGCAGCGGGTGAGTGGGGCGGCGCTCGGAGGGGGCTCCGAGGTCGGGCCCGGCCGCTTCAGACACTCCTTCCCCGTCAGGGAGATGGCGAGGAGCGGGCACCGGTGTGTGAGGAGACGCCGAGGCTGTCTGGCCCCGGCTCGGGGCATCGGTGGCGTTTGTTCTGTTGTCGGGCACGGCTGTCCCCGAGCGTCACGCAGAGAGCGCTCCGCTCAGCCCCGCGGCGGCTGCTATGCCGGCGGCGGGAGCGGCTCCTCCCGGGACACGGGATGTGTGTCCGAGCCCTGGGATGTGTGTCCGAGCCCCGGGAGGTGCTCACCTGCCCAGGATAATGCAGCCCCCAAACCGCATGGTTCCCGGCACAGGGGATGTGTGTCCGAGCCCTGGCAGGTGTTCACCTCCCCGTGGGTAACAGGGGATGTGTGTCCGAGCCCTGGCAGGTGTTCACCTGCCCGTGGGTAACAGGGGATGTGTGTCCGAGCCCTGGCAGGTGTTCACCTGCCCGTGGGTAACAGGGGATGTGTGTCCGAGCCCTGGGAGGTGCTCACCTGCCCCCGGGTAATGCAGCAGCTAATCCGCATGCCCAGGCAGTGCCAGAGAGAGGGAAGCCCCCCTGGTGCCGGGTAGGATCTGCGCTTGGCTCCCGGGCTTTAGCCGTGCTGTTCAGGACTGGGATGCTCTCAGCTGTCTGAAGGTGGTGGGCTCGGTTCCTGCTCGGCACAGGGCAGAAGTTCACTGCGGGAGAAGAGGAAATCTCCACCCTGGTGGTTGTGTCTCCTACGTTCACGTCAAGTAATGTAGACAAATGCAAGAGGACCAGCAAATGGGTTTCACCATTCCCAGATGAGAGCCTTAATTCTGACAGTGAATCAAAACAGTACTTGAGTTTCTCTCGCAGTGGACTACAAAAGATGTTTAATTAAAGTGAAAATACAGTCAAATTATTTAATTACAGTGGAAATATTTGCTTATAACTAAGAAGAACAGCTGCTGTGGGAGGAGAAGAATGCACTGCAGATATCCCCTGAATATTGTGGACCATGGAAATTAGGGTGATGACTGGCAAAGGTTCAATTCTTTCAGGCTATGAAATATAGTTAACATTAATTTTGAATCTTCGGTATTCTGAATAGCCTGAGCTATTGAATTGGAGGTGGGCATCCCCAAATTCAGCCAGAATCTAGAACCGTGCCATTGTGCTGCCTCCCAATGTGCTATAGGAAGTTATCAAAATTACTCCTTTCCTCGATGGGAGACAGATGGAATGGGGCATAGGAAAGTGTGTTAATGAAATGCCAGCTGTTGAACTGACAGCTGAAAAGGAAACCACATTGAGACTGGAAATAATCTGTAATTATAGTAATGTCAGTTACCTCTCACCTTTCCAATTACAGTCTTTTCTCATGTTCATACCTGGCTCTTCTGGAATTAAAATTTGAGGTGCTTTACATCATCTGTGTTAAGATGCTAAAATATAAAATGGATTAACTTTGTCAGTAAGGAACTAAGGCTTAGTAAATTCTATATGTGTGAGCTGGATTTTAGAGATGCAGAACCTGCTTGAACTAAATTTGCTACAATCTGAATTTCACTTTTGAGTACAACTGTCATCCAGCATGTGTTTTATAAAGTGATTTTTCAGTATGTCTGGGCAATATATAAAATAAGAGGAAAACTTTGGCTGTGTATTGTATTTAAATACTTCTGTGTGTCAATGCAGAACTCTTCATTCCTTTATTTTGGTAGTGATAGAGAAACTACTGAAAACAGGGGACTTCTTTGCTTTGACATAAAAGTCGGATACCACAATTTAGCATTGCAACACACAGTTGGAGGAGCAGTCCCTAAAAAAAAGCCCCAAAATGTTACTTAGTGGGACCAGGAGCCGGACTTTCTTCTTGTTTCCCTGAGGATGAGTGGAAGGGAGTGCTTGATCTTTCTCCAGAATCTCTTTTCATGAAGAGTAAATTTGTAGTAAAGAGCTCTTTTCTCTTGGAGGCAAGAGTGTAGGTAAGGGTGTTGCAGGTAATGATTGCAGCCAGCCCAACAGCAAATGATGTAATTGTTGTCATGTTTGATAAATTTCCAGCACTCATTCCCAGCATTGCCAGGTACCTGTCTTGGATGTTAATGTCCAGGCAGCATAAGGAAAAAGTTTAAGGAGCTTGTTTCTTGGTTATTTAATCATTAAACTTAACTTTTCACCTCTGCTTCTAGTTAGTTATTCCAGCATGTGAGTGATGTTAGTAAAGTGATGAGGAGTCCTACCACTGACATTTTTAACCTGGTGTACTCAGGGTCCAACATGGGATAACCTTAAAGGAAGTAGTTCTTGAACTGAATACTTTAAATTAATTTATGTATTCACTCTGTTTTGCATTAATAGGACAGGCAAGGGGCTTCCAAATGGTTTTCATAGGATTTATAATGCTTACAAGGACAGCTGTTTTAGTTTCCTACTAAAATTGTGATGAGAATTAGAAAAATATTTCTCTAATTGGGAGAAATTTGAATAGAATCTTGTTTTCTCTTAAGGAATAGTGGAGTTAATGTAGCTCCTTAGTATTTATTAAGACTTTAACATGTTTGATTGATTATGTCTCCAGACTTTATGTTTAGAAGTTCTGATATTCTTTTCTATAACATCTAGAAAAGAGAAAGCTGTACATGTTTATGGGATTGCACTATCTGCAGAGGGGCTCTAACATAAAATGCACTGTGGAATCTTTTACACAGTAGTGTGTTTCTGATGACAAGGTCCCACATAAAAGATTTTATTTTATTATATTTGCAGTACTTAG